AGGCAAGTATGTATGTATGTATGTATGTATATGTATGTATGTATGTATGTATGTATGTACGTGTATACACATGTACATAAATCATGTACATACGCTATCTCTCTCCCTGTCTCCTGGCAAGCGGATATACATGTGCATATCTTACCTGCCATGGTCAGGCGAGCTACTGCCGCAAGAAACTCTTACACCCTTACCATTCTATCTCTATTGTTGCACTTAAGACATCCCACACGACTAGTTATTACTGGCTTGCTTACGCTGTCGCGATGATGTGAGGATAGCATATGTACATGGTAGATATACATTCACACATGCAGGCATCATTCGTTCATCAATCCATGAATCTATTCTATACATATATATATATACACATATGTACACATAAGTACGGAGAAGTAGATACACAAACAAACAAAGAAACACATGTGCATGTATACATATATACATACCGTCATACTTAGAAACATGTGACACAGATATGGGGATCTGGGCCCAGCTCTCTAGCTCTCTGCTAGCCTGGGCATTGCTTCCAGAAGCAGTTCCGTGGCTGCATGCGCTCTTCTTCGGCTTCGGATGTTTTGGGCACGCCGGGATGTTCTCACCGTAGCCAAACACGCTGGAATGCCTGATTGCAAGCGTCCAGGGAACGCTTTAGCACGAAGACTGCCGACATGCACTGCTGCAGGAAGTCTGGGAGAGGTCGTGCCAAGGGCTGTCCGTTTGCTTCGTCCATGTGATTGGGATCCATCGCAATGTGTTGCACAGGTGCCGCCGCCTGAAGCGGTGTGGGTTGGAACCCCTGATGAAGCCGCTGAGTCAGCTCGACGAGATACCGATTCTCCACCAGTCCTGTTGAAGGCACCTGAAGGTCTCCCAATCTGCACGGCACGCTTGCGGAGCGTCGAGGAGCTGGGCCACCGAGGATACGGTCCTCCTGAACGTCGATGAAAGTCAACTTGTACCGTAAACTCATCGAAGTGGACCGATGGCACCTCTGACTCTAAGCACGCTCTTCGCTGCTATGCACACAGATCTGGTAAGCAAACGCTTGAGCCACGTTGGGATTGGCCGTGTGAGCAGGGGCAAGTCTCCATGAACCAACTGCATTCCTATCAGCTCAGTCAGGTTTGCTGCCATTGGTGCAACTGTTGCCGACAAAGCTGCTTGCGCTGCTGCTTGTCAGATTTCTTCTCCAAGGCCCCCCGATAGATCCTGCTCAAGGCATGCACATGTTCATGCATGCCCGAAGCACCATCACGTTCCAGATGCAAGCATAGACGTTTTACTTCAATAAGGCAGGCATGTAGTAATAATAACAAATGATATTAACAATAAAAACAACCATAAGACAAATAATACGACTAATACTACTAGCCATACGAACAATACGAATAATCACAACAATCATGTATGATAGAACAAGAAAAATAATAGACAAATAAGAATGACTATAACTGTAGTAATCCAAAATCATAACGATAGCATTTTTTACGACCAAATACCAACAAAAATAGCACCTAACGGCCTAGAATAGCAACTTGCAAAAACATGATGACGTCGATCCCTAAACCCTAAACCTACTAAACCTCTAAACCCTAAACCCTAAACCCTAATTCAGAGAGGGTTCCCCAGGATCTTCTCCACGTCGTCCAGCCCGGGTAATCCGAGGGCTGCCGAGGCGCTGGGTCGACTCTCCGGCCCTCGGCGGTTGAAAAAAAGGGGCCTTATGATTTAGAAGTTCTATAAGGGCTACTAGATAGTTAGAATAGGTTTTTGGGGTTCCTTTAAGGGTTTAAGGTTTAGGGGGGGCCTTAATAATTAGAATGGTTTTTTTTTCCTCTCGCATGGCAGAGAACTATGCTCACAGGCGAGGTTGAATGGTTTAGGCTTTAGGGTTTTTGGGGGAATTAGAATAGGGTTTGGGGTTCCTTTAAGGGTTCTAGAAGGGCTTTTGAATAAGGCGGTTTTATCTAGGGGCCTTATGAATTAGAAGTTCTATAAGGGCTACTACAAGGGTTTAGGGTTTCAGGGCCTTAAGAATAAGGGTCTTAATAATCAGAATGGGGTTTTGGGTTCCTTTAGGGGTTCTATAAGCCTTAATTACGAAAATGTGGTTTTGGGGTTCCTTTAGGGGTTCTATAAGCCTTCATGATTTTAATCGGTTTTTTCGGGTTCCTTTAGGGGTTCTAGAAGCCTTAATGATTAGAATAGGGTTTTGTGGCTTCCTTTACTGGTTCTATAAGCCTCAATGATTGGAATAGAGTTTTGGTGTTCTTTTAGGGGTTCTATAAGCCTTAATGATTAGAACAGGGTTTTGGGTTCCGTTAGGGGTTCTATAAGCCTTAATGATTAGAATAGGGTTTTGTGGGTTCCTTTAGGGGTTCTATAAGCCTTAATGATTAGAATATGGTTTTGGGGTCCCTTTAGGGGTTCTACAAGCCTTAACGATTAGAATAAGGTTTTGGTGTTCCTTTAGGGGTTCTATAAGCCTTAATGGTTAGAATACATTAGAACAGGGTTTTGGGTTCCGTTAGGGGTTCTATAAGCCTTAATGATTAGAATAGGGTTTTGTGGGTTCCTTTAGGGGTTCTATAAGCCTTAATGATTAGAATACGGTTTTGGGGTCCCTTTAGGGGTTCTATAAGCCTTAATGATTAGAATAGGGTTTTGGGGTTCCTTTAGGGGTTCTATAAGCCTTAATGATTAGAATAGGGTTTTGGGGTTCCTTTAAGGGTTCTGTAAGCCTTAATGATTAGAATAGGGTTTTGGTGTTCCTTTAGGGGTTCTATAAGCTTTAATGATTAGAATACGGTTTTGGGGTTCCTATTTAGGGGTTCTATAAGCCTTAATGATTAGAACAGGGTTTTGGGGTTCCGTTAGGGGTTCTATAAGCCTTTATGATTGGAATAGGGTTTTGTGGTTCCTTTAGGGGTTCTATAAGCCTTAATGATTAGAATAGGGTTTTGGTGTTCCTTTGAGGGTTCTAGAAGGGCGACTACCAGGGTTTAGGGTTTAGGGGCCTTTAGAATTAGAATAGGGTTTTGGGGGGTTCTTTTAAGGGTTCTAGAAGGGCTACTATAAGGGTTTAGGGTGTAGGGGCCTTAAGAATTAGAATAGGGTTTTGGGGTTCCTTTAAGGGTTCTAGAAGGGCTACTATAAGGGTTTAGGGTTTAGGGGCCTTTATAATTAGGATATGGTCTCGGGGTTCCTTTAAGGGTTCTATATATAAGGGCGACTATAAGGGTTCAGGGTTTAGGGGCCTTAATAACTAGAATTGGGTTTTGGGGCCCATTATACTATAATGATAGTATGGAACCCCCAAAAATAGTACAGGTAATTATTAGGAAGGCCCTCTATTAGGGCTTTCGGGCTTCGACTCACACATTCACACTCGGCTGGCATGGCGCTGAAGGTCAACAGCAGAGGGCTTTTGAGTTTAGGGTGTTCAGGGTTTGGAGTCTGGGGGCTTAGAGTTCAGCGTTTCGGCAGTCACAACTACGCAGAACCAACCTGGCGAGGGTTCTGGTACGACGAGCTCAGGGTTTAGAGGCTTATTCAATCAAGCCCAGACTTTCCGGGCTGATAGGTTTGGTTTCCACGCTAAATCCTGAACCCTATAAGCTCTAAACAAAACCTAAACCGACATCCGCCGGGGCCCTGGCGCTTTTGAAGCAGCCGCATCGCTAGAGTTGCAAGCTGCTGGTCTGCATCGTCGTCCAAGGCGGGCGGCTCCTCCGTGGTGATCTTGTGCACCAAAGAGAGAACCTCATTGCTTCTTCCCGCCCCTGCTATTCAGCTGTGATCATGGGCCTCGTACAAGATCTACACACGGTCTGTATTATCAGGGAACTAGGTAAGTCGCTACATGCAAGCTTCTGATTTAGAAGTCGAGATGCTACTCTGCAAGCGTACTTGCAAGCTACTTACGAAATCCTCTGATCGCGTCAGTGATGCAGCATGGGCACATTCTGAGCTTCGAAAGGCCGTTTCCTTGGTGAGAGATGGCAGGGACCGTGTCACGAAGGCCATTGGCAACACTGTTTCACACGGCTGATGGACAACAGCCTTGCCTTGTCCTTCTTGGGTTTAGGGTTTAGGAAAACAGTGAAGGGCATGCCATAACTCCCAAGGTTCAGGGTGTTTGGGACAATGCAGGATGCTGTCCATCAGCAGAACGCCCCCACCCCCCCACCCCCCGCCCCCCCCGATTAAGGCTCGGTCAGCGCTAGCAGCTCATACAGAACCACGCCAACGCTCCACATGTCAGATGCAGCGGTACCACCACGGCCATCCCACCATTCCGGTGCCATGTACATGGGGCTACCGACCTTAAGTTGCCCAAACAAGACAAGGGTTTAGGGTTTAGAGTCAGGCAAAAAATCCAGAAAGCCCCTACAGAAAGCTATAAGACTACTCCCCTCACCTTCAACATAGTCTGGTAGAGCCCCTTTTGTTGCTCTTTATCTCCAAATTAGTACATGGGTAGTTCTCTAAATTAGGGTCCCTTTCAGGGTGCATTTTATAAGGGTGCCGTACTATATTGGGGACATAAAAAGGGACCCCAATTTAGACAACTACCCACATGCAGCTGGGTAGCAGATGTCATGGCTTTCTGCTGCGACTCAGTGAGCTGCTTGCTCACTCCGAAATCCCCGAGCACGATGTTTCGAGCCTGGGGACCCAGAGACTCCAAAACCCCCTTAATTAAGGAATATACCTTAAATTATAATAGGATCCCTAATATGATTTAAGGTATATTCCTTAGTTAAGGGGTTTTCGAGTCTCTGGGGAGCTGACGTCGGCCCTCATTTTTCATCAGTTTAACCAGTTATGCACGTAAGGACCCTATAAGGTAACCCCAAAAGGAACTACAATGGAGACTATAGGTAGAATAGCGAGGGCTTCGAGCAGGGGTTTAGGTTGTACGGCTTTCAGGATTTGGGTTTTCGGGGGTTGTCGGCTTTGTTACAAAATTGGGCATGTGGTGGACCAAAGCGTCATGGGCAGTGCATGCCAAGGAGCTCCTGTAATGAACATGTTGCTGCCTTTGACATCTCTGTGAACGATGCGCAGGCTGTGCACGTGCTTCAAGGCCATGCACAGCTGGGTCACCCAATTCTTTGCTTTCCCCAGTGGCAGTTCCAACTCATTCCTCGGCTTCAGCCCACTTCAGGTTGCGGGTTTTCGGCTCTAAGGCTTCAGGGCTTAGGGTTTTAGGGTTTAGGGTTTAGGTAGGGGTTTAGGGTTTAGGGGTTTAGGGTTTAGGGCTTGGGGCTTGTTTTAGCTCCCTGGATATTCACGCCGAGCGGGAGCTGCTGCTACTTTGCAAGCGAGGTTCTCGCGGCAATCGTCAATTTCTTTCTGGACGTCGCCTGGGCGCCCAAAACAAATGGATCACACGTTTGCAGCACAAGCGTCTCCACGAACAGGAGCCCAGAAACTCCCGATTATTAGATCGCTGCCTCCAGGATAGAATTTCAGAACGATCCAGTAGCTCAGCATGTCCTCACAGACAGCTCGCAATGAGGCGTCTGGCAAAATGGTGGAAGGGTTTGAAGAAAATGGGTCCTGGGAGGTCCAAACCACATCCACCAGCTGTGCCACGCACTCGTGTCGAACTTTTTGCAGGAGAGCTATCTCTTCGAGACCTGTTTTGAAGAACAGTGAACAGCCAACAGATGCATCCATTGCGCGAGCTTTCCCAATACAAACATGTAGAACCCTTGTATCATACGTACTATAACCACACTCCAAAGCCTTGTTCAACACACGGAAGTGTTGTGTACCAGTAAGTACCAGCAGTAAAACACACATATGTAGTTGATTTGACTGGGTGTGAAAATTTTGTTTTTTTTTTGCGTGAAAACACGTTTGAATTCCAATAATTGCCTCGGCGCAGCTGCCAAAAAGCAGTGTTTCCAAGCCATGTAGATGCTAACATGTTGAGTTTTGTTCGATCTGTTCATCGACCGGGGGTTGTCAGGAAGAGAACAAGAAGAAATCAACGAAGCGGGAAAAAAAACAAGAAAGCCGGAGGAGCATTTCGAATCGTAGAAAACCAGGATGCAGAGGCCCTGGAGTACATGACGACGTGATGTTTTTTGCCGCAAAAAGGAGAGAGATAGAGAGACAGAGAAACAGAGAGAGAGAGAGAGACAGAGAGACAAAGAGAGACAGAGAGAGACAGAGAGAGACAGAGAGAGACAGAGAGAGAAAGAGAGAGAAAGAGAAAAAGAGAGAGAGAGAGAGAAAGAGACAGAGACTGAGAGAGAGAGAAAGACACAGACAGAGAGACTGACAGACAGACTGACAGACGGACAAACAGACCGACCGACCGACTAACAGACCGACAGACCGACAGACAGGCAGACAGACAGACAGGCAGACAGGCAGACAGGCAGATAGGCAGACAGACAGACAAATAGATAACAAAGGAGACACCGAGTGAAGGGACCCGAACCTCGAGGCGAAAACACAGTCACGGCGCGTGCCCGCGCGAGCACACCAAATGCAAAATCAAAATAGCAGCCGAGAGGACGAGGACCGAACACAGTGCGTGGCCGAGACCACATGTGGAAGATCGAATTTGGCGTAAGTAACTTTACAAAAGCATCGCCATCAGAAATTTAAGCGACTGCATTTGTGTTTACACTGTAGGTTGTCCTATAATTACGAAATTATGAAACCCCCTGACTCTTGCAGCTTGCCTTGGCAATCAGTTCTTGTTGCTGCTTCTCCACCACTGCCTGCGGCTCAGATTGACGCTGAACCCTGAAGTATTCATCCGCTGCACAACGGGCACAATGAATCACAATGACATCTCAGAACGCAGTCCCCTCAGTGTGCAATTGCACCGCGTCCAAGCAACTTGTGTCCGTCCATTGCCTTGGTTTGCAGCCGCTGCTGGGGGACAACGTGTCCCCCACTGCTTCGCGACAAACTGCGAGCTTGCAGGCTCGCTCGACCAGCTTCGCGCATGCAGACGAGGGCACAAACGCCGAGCCCCAAAGGCAGAAGCAAACGAAGGCCCCTGCGAAGTGCAATTTGCATGATCTCTGGTGGCAAGGAGCAGGACCTGTCCGTGGGTATGGCCGTGAGCCAAACGGCAGCCTGCGAGCCCGACTGGGACAGCAACAGTGCCCGCACCAAGGTGGGCAGCAGCACAAGATCGCAGAAATAAAGTGAGCGAGTACTCGACGTGTGTAATTGCCAGCCGCTGGCTGCCAGCCGTGAAGCCAGCCGCGCGCCCTGTCGCCAGGCCCGGCACGCGGGACTCGGGACTGCGCCCGGGGCTCTCAGGATTGCTGCCCAAGTCAGGCATTCCTGCCAGCCCTCGCTTCGTGAAGTACCGCGCACGGCTCGTTCGCGTCCCTCGGCCTATGGGCGGCATGTTGCGCAGGGCTGCCGGGCCGCCGCCAGTGTTGTAGACCCGCGCCGACGTTGGACGCCATGCCACAGTGCTCTTCGACTCTGGCCGCGACCTCGTGCCGAGCTCGCGATGACGTACGAGTCATCCAAGTAAGCCAGCAGCTCGTCGCCTGCCGTCAAGCCAGCCGCTTCGAGCTGCAGGCCACCATGCTCCCCAAGAAAAAACAGTGTCGGGGCAAGCGCATCTCCCTGTACGCAGCCTTCCGCCTGGCGACTTCGCGGAGTTGGCGGAGAAGGGCGAAATTTTTTCCACACACCTTTCTGCTGTCCACGCGTTCCGTGTGCTGGTCGCCCGAAACCAAGGCCAAACTACGTGGCATGTCAGGGCACGCGGCTAGCAAGATGAGGGAAGGCCGATGGTGCGGCGAGAAGGTCACTGAGGAGCGGAGGATCTCCGTGAAAGGCGGTTCTGGAGATTGTATCATGCTGCGTCACATCCGGATCGGTCCCCAGCGCGACGCGGAGTCGCGCCACCAAGGCGTTCATCGCGGAACGCGCGCTAAGGGCCAAGGGCGCGCGGGGCGGTAAGGGGCAGAGCGGGAGACGCGTTCGCGCGAGGGCTTCCACCGCCGCACGGTTGCGGTGGGCCACCAGGCCACCGTCAAGTGCTCGCCTCCTCGTTGAGCTCGAGTGGGCCCGGGGTTATCTGCCTAGCTGTACGAAACAACAATGTGTGTGTCTTACATCATGCTACTTTGTACGAAACTCAATCGCATCACAACGTGTCACATCTCACACGCCTCTACGGCTTTTTTTGTTCGCTGTCCACGCGGTCCCTGTGCTGGTCGCCCGAAATCAAGGGCACGAGGAGGGGAGGCCGATGGTTCGGCGAGAAGGTCGCTGTGGAGCGGAGGATCTCCGTCGACATTGGCTGCACCTCACAGCGGCAGGGAAAGGAGGTTGGTCGCGAAGGCGTTGGCAGCGGCAAAGGCGAGCAGAGCGGACCATACATAGCGGACCACCGAAAGAATAAGCCGTTCCAGGATCTTTGCATGGGACGATGACCATCACGATCAGTGGAGGCAGAAGCGCAAGGCAACGGAGACTTCGGCACAAGTCAAGGAATTCAAGGATGGCATGCCGCCACCAGAGCAAATCAACGCAGAATGCTTCACAAGGAATGTCATCGACACCCGGTGCTTTGCTTGTGGAACAGTGGCGCAATGCTTGCTCAAGTTCAAGGCTGTTGAAATGCACGGAATGTTGCTCACGAATGCATCGAATGCGGCACGTGACACGTGCGAAGTGCCGTGGAGCTGCCGGACATTGCCGGACCCCTAGACGCCCCACGACTCGCCACGCGCCGCTGCCAGGCGATACCCAGCTTTTGCACTGCTCCGCCTCCCGCCTTGCTTGTGCCGATCTCCTTTGGCTGCTTTGCGCGTCGGCCGGATTATTTCGCTGCAGAAGCCCAACGGATGCAGCATCCGCGCCCCCGTCGTCGGCGATGTCCTTCGGCGCTTGGTCGGCCGCGCGCTGGCTCAGGCCTTTGCGCCACACTTCCAACGCGCCTGTCTCCCTCACCAGTTTGGCCTGAGCACGCGAGCTTGCACCGAAGCCCTTGCCAGGGTATGCGTGCCACCACTGAGCTCGATCCGCGCGCAACCGTGTTGTGCGTCGATGCCGTTCGTGCTCGACCACTTTTTTTTCCGGGAGGCCATGCTCAGTGCCCTGCTCCGTCACCCTGACCTGCGACCGCTCGTGCCGTTCGCCCGTGAGTTCTACGGCACGCCCAGCTCGTCTACCTGGACCGACGATTCCGGCCGTAGCCACGTCATCGCTCAAGGCGGGGGTGGGGGGCAAGGGGATCCTGTAATGCCAACACTTATGCCCAGGCACAACAGCCCGCCCTCTGCGAAGCTCAAGCCCAGCTGCGAGACGGAGCGGCCATCTTCTCGTTCCTTGACGACACTTATGTCGTTCCTCCTGCTCAGGCCGCTTTTGTGCACCGCTGGAGTGGCATCCTTTCGGTTGCCGCGCAGCGAGCCTTCGCCACTTCGCTCCTTGAGCTTCCTCGCGCTGCTGAGGTCGGTGCTGCTGGTGACCCGCCCGCTTTGCACGAGCTGCTGGCTGACGCACGCTGGCTGCAGGCACCCGCCAGCAGCCGTTTCCCAGCCCGCCCCGCCTTAAAGCATGACGTAGGCTGCCTGCGTGTTGCAGGGGGACCCTGGCGTTTGCAGTCGTAAAAAGGTGTGCGAAAAAAAGGACATCATTCCACCAACCTGGTTGCCGCCGCTTGGGCTGATCCGTGCGATGGTTGTACAAGTTGTCATCACCGTTCCAAATGATGTCCAAAAATGAACTGTACAGTATGTCAAGCTGTTGATGTGCATCTGCCTTGGTAAGCGTGCGCAATGCTGCTGACTTCACTAACCTGCCGAACTCAACGTTGAACTTCGTGAAATTTAAATTCTGATTGCAACAACGTTGGCCAACTGCGAACTTGCAATGTTGTGAGGGCGACGGCACAGCAGAAACTACATTGCATCGCAACATCACGGTCAGCGCAAAATGATCACAACCTCATTGTAGGCAACAAAGTTTGCATGTTTGCAATCAACACAATGGCATGTTGCTGCATTGTGGACCTCAACGGATTGGGTCAGGCCCGGACTGGCAAAAACGAGGTCCAGAGCTGCTCCACGCCTGTGGTGGGGGACCAGTCCGAAGGTTTGTAATTAAACCGGACCGGATGAGTTGGAGGCGCAGACGTCGGCGCAACGCACGCTGCATCGCTTGCGGGGACAGTGTGGTGGCTAGCTCGGCCGGGATGGCGGTTAACCAGGCATCCGCGTGGCCCAGCTTGAGAGCGCAAGAGCGCGCAGGCGCTGGGTGGCAGGCTTGGTAGCAACGTGCGCTCGCGGAAGTGTAGGGTGCGAGTTCGCGACGCACTGTGCTGCCAGCCACGCGGCCAGTCACCGAGGCCCCTGTCTGTCACCGCTGGTGGGCAGGCGCCACACGATAGCTCGCCAGGACGGGCATTCCTGCCAGCCTTCTGCTTCAAGGAGGTTGTGTGCCACCGCTGCTGCGCTACGGGAGGCAGGCCGTTTCTGCATTTCTGCCTCCCTTCCCTCGTTGGCGGACGCATGCCTTGGCATGGCCAAGGCGGGGCGCGCTCGCCAAGCACAGGGATTGCGTCAGCCATGCCGCCCAGTACGCTGCGGGCGCGGCACGGACCGCACTGGCTAGACCGAGGCCTCCAAGCGACGCTGGGACCAGTTTCCGTGCGCCGTCCGCTTCACCAGACGCCTGCAAGGTCTGTTTGTTTCAATCCGGACAATAACGCATGAATTTCAAATGTCCTAGTCATAGTTGCTGGTGATGGTAACGTTAGGGTTTGGTCAATAATGCTTGCCCACCTCGGCCTGCTGATAGGTTGAGTGTTGATCTAAATCGGAGCGGCCCCTCTCCCGGATGCGGCGGGCTCGTCGACGTCTTCGGCGACCATGCCTTGGCCTGCCCTAGCTCGGCGAACAAACATCGTCCGTCGAACGGGCTTGGGTGACAGTCGCGCGCGAAGCCGTTTATATAGTCCCGCAACAATGGTTCTCCAACACTACTGCTCCTGGCGTGGCGCCTGACGACAGACGCCGTCGCAAGCGAGCCGCCCACCCCGAGCTCAGCTCCGGAGGCCCGCAACGGCTCCTCATGCTCGGCTCCGAGATAAGCAGCGCAGCGGCTCGTCAGAGACTTGGTGCGTCCGAGCCCAACGGGCCCCGCCAGCACTGCGAGGAGCAGCCACTTCCGCCTGGATGAAACGGTGGTGGGCGGCTCTGGCCGTAGCGGTGCAGCAGGCCGTGAGCAGCACGGCGCTCGGAAGCCCGTGGCCCGTGCCGCCACACGCGAGCCAGCTACCGGGCCCGGAGCTAGACCGCGTGCTCGACCTCGCCGAAGCTGCGGGGCCGAGCCGACTGCCGCTGTGCTAGCCACAGTCGGGCTATAGGAGCCGCACGTTAGACTCGGGTAGGGTAGCTCGAGCCTGCTGGACCACCGTCATGCAGACGGAAAAGTTCGGGGAATAACAAAACAAACAACCTTCGCCAAAATTGCGACCGATCGATTTCAGCACAAGCAACACTCAAGGTGCCATCCCGACACTGTCACAGGATCCATGCGATATCCACCTGCGGGCACGGACGGGATGACATGCAAAAGTTGCGACGGTCCAGCCTGCTGCACAAACCCTACATCACGACCCCTTTTGGCCGCTAAACCTTCAAAACAAAACGTTGATCATCGGGTCATCAGGCAAGGCTGTGTCAGCAGGAGCACAGGAGTGCGGCCGCACAGTTTTGCGACTCAAGAAACGGAACGAAACCGTGCAGTGCATCATGGCGATTGCAGTTTAGGCGGCGCGCGTTGGACGCATCGGGGCCGCCTAACCACCGAGCACCCTGCCCGTTTCCCGATTGTCGGAAACGTTGAAGCGGGGGCCTGTTGTCATGCCCCATGCGACGAGGGGGGTCCACAGTACGCTGACCTCGATGGCAGTGTAACCTCGGCCGATGGTCTGCGACGTGATTGCTGCCAAATCGTGTCGTTGTACAGCTGCCGCCTCCACCGCGGCCGCCCGGCACTTATGGTTCAGTTTGCAGGCTTTCGCCCCCTCCTGCTCCGCCACCGAGGGCGCGTCAGCAATCTGCACCGCAGGTGCTACGTGGCCCAACCACTTCCCGGCGTGTGCCGTTGTTTGCTCGACGAGGTGCACCACGTCGTCCAGACAGTATGTCTAGAGGCATTTGTTCTAGTTGTGGGAACCCTGCTCTCCATGATTGCATCAGCAATCGCTGTTGGGCTTGTTGTGCAAGTGTTGATTGCCCGTGTCACGGTACTTGTACTCGAACCCCTCCACCACCGACGCCGCCTCCCCCTCCGTCCAGGCATGTCCAGGCAGTGTTCGTTTGGCGGAGGGGCACACGGTGGGGGTTCCACGGGGGAGGCGCAAGCGATAGAACACCATTCGGCAAGGCATTGGGATTTACAAGGTATTCATCAATGAATTGCATTGACTTGGTGAGCATCGCGCTCAAACGCGACACCTGGACACCTGGGATTGCAACTCTGGGACGGCCAGACGGAGTGAGGCCAAAGCAAGTTCTAAGGCTGCATCTGGACGCATGTGATTTGCACCCGCATCAAAAATTTTTTTTGCGTCCGCACAAACTGTCCTAGCGCCGTCGGAGCTACCTAGTAACTGCGGAACGCTAGCGAAGCGGCAGCCGACTGGGGGCGCTCGCACTCGCAAGGTCGAGCACGTCGCCGAGCGGAGGCACGTCTGGTGCACCAGGCAGCGGCGGCATGGTCCATACGCCAAGCGCAGAGCTGGCGACGGCTCGCTGCAGGGCTACCGACAGCACACTCCACTAGCGACGCGCCCAGCCTTGGGCGGCTGAGGCTCGCAAAGGCGGCGGGGCGCGTTGGACCCGGAGCCGGAGCAGGGTGCGGAGAAATTGCTGGCACTCGTCGCTCCACCGCCCCCCGACTTCAGCAGAGAGGACAACGAGCCGCTGAGGCCCTCCGCGGGTGAGCTCCGGGTAACGCGCGACTTTGCGTCGGCGCGCCGCAACAAGCGCGACTCCCGCCCGTGTGTCGGCTCCCGAAACGGGTCGGCCAGCGCGGGTAAGTGGGGAGACTAGCGTTGCGTCCCAGCACAAAGCCTCCCCATTGGGGGTCGCCCCGTAGACAACGAAGTCGAGGCGACGACGGTCGTCGGCGTGGACTTGCGGCGCAGTAGTGCGCGCAAGCCACTGCTGCGGGACAACCCGGCCCTCCGGGCCAACAGCTTCGCGAGCGACCTGCACCCAGGCTCAATCGACGACGAACCCGCGCCTCGGCAAAAGGCCGGTGCGGGGGCAGGCGAGGTGGTGGTCGCCGTAGGCATCGACCTCGGCCCCACAGCCATGACGGCCTTCCGCGCCGGCTTGTAATGGGCACGGGCAGCCGAAGGCGGCGCCTCATTGCCACGTGCATGAAGTCGGGCGTGAGGCTCGATGCTGCATCGGAAGGGATGGCCGCAAGCCACATACCCGCATGCGGACCGGATTGAGAGTGAAGGAGGGCACGAGCTGAAGGAGTCAAGGCTGGGAGCATCTCGCGGTCACGAAAGGAAGTGTGAAGTGCGAGAGCCACATGTCGCCGCCAGCCTGGCCCTCCAAGGCCGAGCTCACCGTCCGTTGTGGGGGCTGCGGCGCCTTGAACGCAGGAGCCGACGCCAGTAAGCTGGCGCGCGGCGTCGGCGGCTGCACGCAGGCACGGCGACGCTGGCTCACCCTGGAGTTCATGTACGAGCCGGTCTGCTGCGTCGGGGTAGCGTTGGTGCAACACCGGGAGCGCATCCGCCCACGCCGCCCAGTATGCTGCCGGCGACACCCGCTCAGCTGCGAAGAGGCCGAGACCCCCGAGGCTCGGCGG